TCAATGTAGTGTGTTGTGGGATAATTAAATCTTCCTCTTAGGAGGCCATAGAAAGTGCCGTCTTCATTGTCTGGTGCCAGTTGGTTTCATTTTTCTCAGCTACATGTCTTGATAATTTTTTGTGTCAGTTGTATATAAAACTGTGGCTAGCGGATAAAAGCAACTTATGTCTTTCTGAGCTTAAATAAAACTTCAGTGGTTAAGGATATGGTTTGTCACAGTTTGTACAGGGTCTAAGTTGTTTTCTAGAGCTTTAAATGTCCTCACCATTCCATAGTTATGGTCAGAAAAGATAACACAATAAACAGTGCTTGTTTCTTAATCAAGTGGTGTTTTGAAGTCTTGACATGTTTGATTATTATTCCAAGTGTGGGACAGTAGGCTGAGACTTGAAAGCACAGCATCTATCCTTATTGGAAAACAGTTAAAACTACAAAGAATTTGAAGTTTTGAAAGACTTTTTATGAGTAGTCTTTCTGTTTGAATTGTTTATAGGCTACATGAGCTATAAACTCATAGTACTCATAAACTTACAGTACTATGAGCAGGTTAGTTAGAAAGAGTTACAAATGCAGCTCAGCGCCCTGCATACAGGACAGTCCTCACTCCAAATTTGCAAGATGGTCAGGGGCTTCTCTAGTGAGAATTTTAAGGTCATAATCTTTTTTCTTTTTTTTTTTTCTTTTGGTTCTTTGATACAGGGTTTCTCTGTGTAGTTTTAGTGTCTGTCCTGGATCTCGCTTTGTAGACCAGGCTGGCCTCGAACTCACAGAGATCAGCCTGGCTCTACTTCCCGAGTGCTGGGATTAAAGGCATGTGCCACCACCTCCCAGTGGTAATAATCTTGGTTTTTCGAGACAGGGTTTCTCTATGTAGCTTTGCACCTTTCCTGGAACTCACTTGGTAGCCCAGGCTGGCCTCGAACTCAGAGATCCACCTGCCTCTGCCTCCCGAGTGCTGGGATTAAAGGCGTGCGCCACCACCACCCGGCTTTGGTAATAATCTTAATAGGGACATAAATCACACATCATATGCTTTTCCTAGTTAAAGTATATGATTTGTTTCTTTGTTGTTGTTGTTTTAAAGCAGGGTCTCAAGTAGTCCAACCTAACCTGGAACTTGCTTGGTAGTCAAGGATGACCTTAAATTTTTGATCCTCCTGCCTCCACATCCCAAGTCCTAGGATTACAGGCTTGTACCACCACACTTGGTTTATATGTTGCTGGAGATCAAACCCATGGCTTCATGTATTCTAGGCAAACACTGCCAGCTGAGTTAAACCCCAGCCTGGTTAGTCACAGAATTGTACAATTATAGTCATAATTTTAAGACATTTTCATCATTCTTTAGAAGCAATCTCACTAGAAACTATCCCTTATTTTCTCCCAAACTTAAACATCCAGTAATCCAGATTCTTCCTCTACAGGCCTGCCTGTTTGGACATTTCATGTAAATGTGTGGTCTGTGGTAACTGGCTTCTTTCACTTTTCATGGTGTTTCATGATCCAACCTGTTATAAAATGCCAGTACTTCATTTTTTTTGTGTGTTTGTTTTGTGAACTGGAGATTGTGCGTGTGTGACATCTGTGGATGTGTGTGTGTGGATATGTGCACCTATGTGTATGAAGGAGAAGGACATTGAATGACCTGTTCTTTCACTGTCTGCCTTATTCTTTTCAAGCGGAGTCCCCACCTCCCCTTCTAAGATGGGGTCTCTCTATGTAGCTCTGGCTGTCTTGGAACTCATTCTGTAGACCAGATTGGCCTAGAACTCAGAGATCCGCTTGCCTCTGCCTGTTCTGGTATTAAAGATGTATGCTACCACTGCCCAGCCGGAGCAGGGTCTGTTACTGAACCTGGAGCTGGACTGGCAGCCAGCAAGCCCCAGTGATCCAATCACAGAATGCATCTGATGTCAACCTCTGACCTCCCATGCACACCTGTATATGGCATATCACACACACACTCGTGCTCACATGGACCTAACCATACACACATATACATGAAAAAAAAAATCAAGGCATCACACCTTTCTCTTCTGTCTCACACACACTCATTCTCTGTGTGTCGTACCACACACACACACCATGCATCTTTCTTTTTGGTTTTTTAACTGACTGTAACTTAGAATTTCTAGAGTAGCACCTTGAAACCATATGGTACAACCCACTAATAAATCAGTAATCAGTATCATTAGCGTTTCATTAAAAAGGGGGCAGAGAAAAAGACATTAAAATATCAGGATTACCATCAAAGTATCACATCATTAATTCATTTCATTATATATCCTAATGTTTTATGTGACTACAATAAAAAATGTTTTTCTTACTGTGAATTACTATTTTTCAAGCCACCATTCTAGCATACCACATCTATTTGTGTCTTGTCCTAGTCTGTCAACATTCATGCTGGATTGTTACTCTACAGATTCTTGGCATAAGACTTATTAAAAGTTTTGTGTATCCTCAGTGTCTTCTCCTCAGCTCTCCCCACCCCAGTACCCAGAGCTGAGAATCAACTCCAGAGCCTTGTGCTACTAGGCAAGTGCTCTACCACTAAGCTAGATTTCCATTCCCTCAATACCTTCTTAAAATTGTATTACACTCATTTATTTGCATGCATGTGTGGATATCAGAGGTCGAATTTCAGGAGTCGGTTTTTTCTTCAAGCTCAGGTTGTCAGCCTTGGCAGCAGGTGTCTTCACCTATTGAGTCATTTCACTGGCTCCACTCCTAGTGTCTTATTTCTAATCTGTTAGCCAGAGACTACACCAGAGGAAAGAAAACCCAGAGGGCTGACAGGTTTACAGTGATAACTGCCAGAAGTCTTTACAGTTTATGTTAAAAAGTATATTTTTTCAGCTGACAGAGCTCTCTTCAAAGAATATGATACTGGTTTGCACGCTGGTTTACACTAGTTTATACTGTTTTTAAGTACAGGTGTATATTACTCGTAAGAACTAAAAGCATGCCTGGATGGATATGCATTTTTAAAAGGTGTGCTCAGCTTTAAAGAGAAAGCACCATGTAGCTAAAACTTAACAGATATTACCTGGAAATAGAAGTATTATGCTTTCAGTAAATTGTTTGGAGCTGAGTGGATACTCCACCACTAAGGTATCCCTTTCTTGGGAGGCATGGGAGCCAGAGATGACTGATGAACAAGCTCCTTTCAAGAGAGGGCAGTGTGTTTGTTTGTTTGTTTGTTTGTTTGTTTGTTTGTTTGTTTGTTTGTTTTGGGTGGAGGTTCAGGCTTTCCAACACTGATAATGAACTGACATTGAAAAAGAACCTACCTGCCAAACTCGTTGATTAGAAGCATGGGCTGCAGGCTTCAACAGACCTAGCCACAAATCCCCATCAGTCATCCCCGTCAATTGGTAGCTTTCTTACTTCATTTCCTCATCTGTAATGTGAAGGTGATGTATGTACACAAAATTATGAGTAGTAAATGAGTCAGTCTATGTGCATTCCTTGGCCCAGTGGCTGATGCGTAAAAATCTATCCATAATCCAGTCTCTGTACTAGGCTGCTTTTTGGTTGGAAAGAGCACATAGATGGAAACTTTCAGAATTTATTTTAAAATTTTTTAGGCTAGTAATCAGCTGAAATTCCTAGACCATTTCAACAACATGTAGCTATGAGAGAGATCTCATAGAGAGTGGTCATATTTAAACTGCTCTGACCACAAAGCAAGTTTCTATCAAGTGCATGCTTGAGTTAGTATTTCCCCTGCTGTATCTTTTGGTGTGTCTCCTAACTGGTACTAAGATCTGAATACTAGCTACTAAATGCCTATTCCCTCTAATGCTGCATTTCATTTCATGTCCCAGGGAGTTTTGTATTTTAACTGTGCATAGCTTAGGAAAACTGTTATGTAACCATTTTACATTCCACAACTCCTTGAATCTGCATGAGTATTTGTGATACTGTATTCTAGGTACTGTTAACAGGATCCATGCACATTTATTCAGATACAGTGTAGGTGCATTGGTTAAACTTTCTGTATGCTGGGAATATGTGTTGCTCTGATTGGTTGATAAATAAAGCCATTTGGTCTATGGCAAGGCAGCTTAGAGGCAGGTGGGAAATTCAAAGAGAGACAGGAAGAAGGCAGAGGGAGACACCAGTGAGCCGCCCAAGGAGCAACATGTAATGGGACACAGGTAAAGCCACGGAACATGTGGCAATACATAGATTAATAGTTATGGGCTAATTTAAGATATAAGAGCTAGCTAGCAAAAGGCTTGAGCCATGGCCATGCAGTTATAATTAACATAAGCCTCTGTGTGTTTGGAGAGATTTGTCCCAACCGCCAGCAGGCCAGGACACAGGAAATATATAACACATGTAACCATGTTACATTCTATAACTCCTTGAGTCTGCATGAGAAGTATTTGTGGTACTGTATTCCAGGTACTGTTAACAGGATCCATGCACTTTTATTCAGATGCAGTTTAGTTATATTGGTTGTTGTTGTTGTTGTTAAGAAATATTTTCTAAATAAATAGTTTTTATTTACATAAAAAGTCTTTCTAGTATTTGTGGAGAAGTTGCCTTCCTAAATTTTTTTAAGTGCTGGTAATCAAACCCAGGGCCATGAGTGCACTAGGATAGTTCTCTCTACCACTGGGCCTCCCATCAAGCAACCTTCCTCCATGAAGCTACTTTTTATTTATTATTTTTTAAAATGTATGGGTGTTTGCCTGCATGTGTGCACCATGTATGTGCCTAGCTGCGGAAACCAGAAGAAGGTGTTGAATCCTTTGGGACTGAAGTCACAGACCATTGTTAACTATCATGTGGGTGTTGGGAATTGAACCTGAGTTCTTTATAAGAGTAGCCAGTGATCTTAACCACTGAACTCTCTCTCTAGTCCCTGAAGCTACTTTTTAAAGAAAGTTTAAATGTTCCAAAAATTTTAAAGTTCTACTTGGCTCCTGTAAAGTGTTAATAAGGTGTCATAAGAAATGCTCTCCTGTCTTTGTGTTTATTATGTAGAGAACAAGACTTGAAACATGAGTTCAGACACCAGCCAATCTGTGATCACTACTCCTCCCCTCCCCAGCATGCCTCACAAAGAGAGGTATTTTGACCGAATCAATGAAAGTGATCCAGAATACCTTCGAGAGAGGAACATGTCTCCTGATCTACGGCAAGACTTCAATATGATGGAGCAGAGGAAGCGAGTTACTCAAATCCTACAGAGTCCTGTGAGTTAAAATTATTCTAAGTCTTTCTTCCTCTTTGGAGCCCATGATATAATGTAATGAGAAGAGAGGTGAAGAAAGAGTGAACTTTTGCTTAAAGGAAGAATGGACTCATTTATAAATGTGTGTGCAGAACAGTTAATTAGTTCTGTACATTGTCTTTGTGTGTTTTCTGGGTATAATTGCTCCTAAAGATGGACAGATAGTTCTATTGAATGTTTGCAGATACCCAATCAAGACATTATCTGAGCAGAGAGGCGAATACACTCAAGTCACGGGAACATGCTAGGTATATTCATGTGCATGTTTTTGTGTTCCTTTAGATACCTTACCTTCACACTCATAACAGAATAGAAAGACTTCAGGATTTTGTGAAGTTCTATGCTTTGGTAGCCTACTATTAATATGTAAACACATTCCACACTAACTAGGCTAAAAGTGAATTATAAATTTATCTGAAGCTGAAAATTTTGTCAATACAGCAGTTGACTTAAATTGTGTTCAAGTGATTTGTTAAGTTTCTTCCAATGCTTTAGTGGATTGCACAGGTCACGTAAAATGATGGGAAATGATAGAAATCCTCCATTTGAGAAACAAAATGGATTTATGCATAATGAAGATGGTAGGACTCTCAAAGCAGAGTTAGCACAAATAAGCACATGGTATCTAGGTTAGGATTATATTAGGTTTCCAGTTTAGCTGCTAAAATAAGCACAGGCCATCCAGCTGCCTGACATGGCCTGGTAAGTCATTTTGTTATGTGCCCTTGTGAATTTAATCACAGGAGTAGAGTCCAGAGCCAAAGGGGAATTCCATTCTGAGTGATTTTCCTGTACCAGTGGCCTTGATGAAAGCATCGAAAGACAAGTTACAAAACAGTGCAAGCTTTGATGGATTTTCTAAGTATAGTGCCAGTTTGAAAGAACCCTTTCAAATGGAGCAGAGACCAACCAGAGAGATGATGATGGTGGAGTACATGCTCAGTGCCTTGCTGTACTCAAGCATAAGAACCCACAGTCGTGAACTACTCACTATCCTAATGATTATTGTAATTTATACTGTAAGGTGATTGAAAGAATGAAATCAAGGTCAAATTTTGTTCAGGATTGTAAAATATTAACTTTTTTTTTAAGGATAAATGTCCCAGAAGACCAGTCAATGAAAATTTAAATGGAAAAAGAACTTAACTATATTTCTTTGCCAGATTTTTTGTTTTATAGTATTCCTCCATTAAAGACATCATAACTTTGAGAATATTTCACTCTTATACTATATATTTCCATTTTTAACTTAAGTTAAAAGCATTAACTTGATACCCTGGAGAACTTAAATAATGGGAAAGAACAGGTGTAGGTTCCCATTTATCTACTCACTTGAAAAAATGGTCAGTTTTTACTCAAAAAAGAGTGAAGAGACTACAATAATAATTTTTTAAAAAGTAGATTTTTTTTCTTAGAGCTTTGCCTGATGAATTTTTAATTTTGTTCTTGAAAAATTTGGAAAACATATGTAAACTTTGCATTCTGCCATGGCTTGAGACAGTGGTTTCCACCTTTCCTTTAAAGGGTCAGAAACTTTAACTTTTGAAACGTTTTTCAACAAAAAGAGAATTTGTCATGTTTTTATTTTCAAGAAAAGAAATATTTCTTTCTGGGAATTTCATACTACTTTTCATATTTGATTTTTTGTTTTTTAATGCTAGAGTGTAGGTGGAAGTTTCTGTCCCACAAGCTCAGGCTTGTTACCATCTAACTCTTACATTTAAATTAACCCATATATCTTATCTACCCTCTGCCATGTGGCAGAACCTTCTTTCAACACTGGATTTTCATCTTGCTTCTTTCTGTTTCTCCCTTGACTCCTATGACTCCTTCCTTCTTCCCAGCATTCTCTGTTTGGCTCTCCCTGTACCTTATCCTGTCCAGCTATTGGCCAGTTCGTTTCTTTATTAAACCAATCACAGTGACATATATTCACATAGTGTAAAGGAATATTCCACACTAGAGGTCAGGGCCAGGAAGATGGCTTAGTGGGTAAAAGCACTTGCTGCACAAACCTGATGGCCTGAATTGGATCCCGAGAACCTATGGTGGAAGGAGGGAACCAACTCCTGGAGGTTGTCCTTAGACTTCATGTGTGCACAATAACTTGCATCTACCTGTACACACATACACATACTCATGTGCATGCACACTAGTAATAAAGAATTTCATTCTGGAAAGCAAATGTTAGTGCATAAACTAGTTTAGATCATGGTTTTTTCAATGTAGGGCTGGAGACATGGCTTAGCAATTAAGAGCACTTACTTCTCTGACAGAGGATCGGAATTTGATTCTTAGCATCTTCATCAGGCAGCTCACAAGTGCCTGTAACTCCAGCTTCAGAAAGACCTAATGCCTCTAGCCTCCACGAGCACTTGCAGATTTCTACATACAGATACATGTAATTAAAGATTAAAAATAATAAATCTTGAGCCATAAGTTCTCCTGACTAATATACTCCTCATATATAATGTCTGTGGAGACCCTAGATAATAATATATCACCTTTTATCAAAAATGAAGTGAATGTCCAGGATGGATTGTTGGGTCTTAAGTGGTGCTTCATCCAAGTTAAAAAAGCATATAAATGGACAATCAAGCAGACAACACCTTGAACTCTGTAGGTGTTTAATAAATTCTGAATGCATGGGTAGATAGATATGTGAATAGTCAAGTGGGCTTTGAGTAATAAACATTTGAATATCATCCAACAGCTCCGACTGACTGCTTAATATGGGCAACAGTCCTTGATCACCTTAGGCCTTGCCACCATAGGAAGCAATTTGGACTGGTTAGCAAATGAATGCTATAATCGGTAAAACAGGAAAAGTATAGGTCATGTAGCTCAAACACCTGACATAAATAGTATTTTAAAATAACAAAGAAATATTTTGTGGTATGTAAGCTTATTTCTAACATAGAAGAAACTTCAAAAGCATTTACATTTAGTATATGATTTGTAATTAAGGCCTAAGTGTTAATGGTATATAACCTGATGAGAGTAATTGGTCAGAATCACCATGTTCTTTTTGGTCACTTAGGAAGCTTAAGATTCTTTATAAACTTTATTTATATACCAACTTGAAGAAAATCTATTATTCTAACCTTGCTTTCATATTAAGTCAGGGTAGGGGAAGACCATCTAGAAGGAAGTTTGATTTGTTTGTTTTTTCTCCTCAACAGGACCAGTGATATCTATTTCCAGATGAATACATTTCTTAATGGAGAAATTCTAAGGAAATTATTATGCTCCTAATCCTGCTTTAGGGGAGATCAAGTAGCATAATTGTAGGGTACCCTGGGAGCAAGTCTGTGATCCCCCTCCCCCGGACATACACACCCAGTTTTCCTCTCTAGAAATTATGAGGTACAATATCCAGAAGTGGATACTTAGAGTTCATCTAATGTCTTGAACATTAACCAGGATTCTGTTACCTAAGTCTCCTAAGGTAGATGTTAATGGTAAATCTGCATGCGTAGTTTATTGTTTGTAGCATTAGCTAAAATAGTTGCATCAGGTCAGTTTGTTTTCCCAAGTTGCTCTTCTTTTAGTATCTATGTGTTTGTGTAAGTGTGCAGGTGCTCTTGTGTGTGTAGCATGTGCACATGTGTACAGAAGCCAGAGACAGCTTCAGATGTTGTTCACTGCCCACTTTTTTTTGGCAGGCAGGTTGCGTGGGTGGGGATGTTTCTTACTGACCTGGAACTGGCCAAGTAGGCAAAGCTGGCTAGCCAGCAAACCCCAGAGATCTCCTGTCTCCACTTCCCCTGCAATAGGGTTACAAGCATGTGCCACCACACCTGTTGTTGCTGTTGTTTGAACATTTTATTAATTCTCTGAGAACTTCACAATTATCCCACACACCTCACCCTAATTCTTTCTGTATCCAACCCCCATCCACTACCCCTTTCCAATTTCATAACCTCTTTTTTTATGTAACACATCAAGTCCAATTGGTGCTGCCTGTATACATGTCAGTATAGGGCCCATCCACAGTCAACCTACCAAGGGCCATACTCTCAAAGAAAGCAAAGAAAGTTCCTCCCGTAGGAACCATCAGCTGTCAGTTGCTTCTTAGCTAGTGATGGGAGCTTGTAAGCCTCTTTCCCCTCGTGCTGGAATATTGACTGACTTGATCTTGTGCAGGCACCCTCAGCTGCTATGAGTCCAGAAGACACTGTTTGACCTAAATCCTCTCCAACCTCTGACTCTTAACAATCTTTCTCCCTCCTCCTCTTGATGTTCTCTGAGCCTTAGGGGAAGAGGTGTGATGTAGATATCCCACTTATGGTTGAGTACTCTACAGACATTATTCTCTGCACTTTGACCAGTTGTGGATTTCTTCATTAACAGCCATCTACTGCACAAAGAAATTTCTCTGATGAGGACTGAGAACTGTATTAATCTATAGGTAGAGAGATACATATTTAGAGCATAGTTTGTTGTTATGTTCATTTAGCAAATAATAGTAGTAGGTTCATCCCTGGGACCTATGAGTTCCCCAGTTGTGGATTCTTGGTCAGGTTTACAGTACCAAGCATGCATATCCTTCTGTGGAGCAGGCCTTTTGTACAAATTGAAAGCATTTGATTACACTCCTAACAATTCATGCCACTGTTACACCCATGACATGCCCTGATTTTTTTTTAATATAAGTTATGGGGATTAAACTCAGGTCTTCATGTTTGAATGGCAAGGCACTTTACCAACTGAGCTTTCTTTCTAGCCTTCTATATTTTATGAAATTTAATCTTATGATCTTTGTCAACAATGAAAGAAGGATTCAAGATTCTGATAAGCCTAACTCCCTAACCTAGGCATTATATACTGTGTTGTTTTAGACTTGTATTTGTATAAACTGTCATACTTTGGAGACAAACAAAAGTTTTCAAGTGGGACTTTCAGTTGCAACATTAAATGACTTCTTAAAGATGTAAAGCATCCAATGAAGTTAAAATCTTA